CTGGGATAATATTTAGATTCTAACTAGCTTCTGAGAAGTTCATATTATTCTTTTTTTTTTTTTTTTTTTTAAAATGCAGCAATTCTTTTTTTTTTTTTTTTTTTTAAAGATTTATTTATACAAGCACTGGGTACAGTCAGAAGCACGGGAGGGTGAGAGAATTCACCAGAGCAGGCAGAAGGACCGAAGTACACTGCTGAGGGGAGCAGCGGGCGGCAGGAGAGGTCTGCGCGCCATGTGGGACCCTCCTCCGGTGGCCGGGGAGCAGCCGGGGATCGAACCGACGCTGCAGAGGCTGCGGGCAGCTTCGCAACCCAGCGCTCAACCGCTGCGCCACCAGGGGAGGCCCTCATATTATTCTTGCATGATGTAATCTATATCACTTGCTTATGCATCTGTGTAAAATTCATAGAAAATAACTAAAAATTAGCTTTTGTCATTATCATCATTACCATCATCTATATAACCTTCCTTGATTATCATATTTCATATACACACATAGACAAACATACACAAAATGGAATTTTTACTATTTTAAAAAATAGAATTAGTATGATGTCTGCAAAAGTCAAAGGATAATCCAATGGATATGTAAGATATATATGTAAATACAATATGACATTTTCATCTTTGAAAAAAACATTTAAACTTTGTATTTTAAAGGTCTTGGCAAGGTGACTTCACAAACACTTAAATGTACAAGTTATCTCTCTGGTTTTCTTCTTCAGTTATACATAAACACTAGGCTCACAACACTGGTTGGCTTCTGTGAGATTTTATGGTACACAGTGGCATGTACTATGAACATTAGAGGGATGGAGGCTGGGAATTTGAAGACTATGCCTTTCATTATTTTCATATTAAACAATTATTCTTCCATCCTAAGTCTTAAGTGGATATAGTTGTCAAGATGACAAACAAATTAAGAAAAAAAAATATGGCCAAAAATATTTGTAACTATCATAAAGATTCCAAAAGAAAGCATCTAGTGGTGGAGGGAGGGTCTCCTCCCACACGTATTTCAGTCATATAATGAGGCATCATATAAGGGATGGCTGCCTGTAGAAAAGAGTGTTAAATAAGAAATCTCTAATTTTGCACTGTCTCTGTTAACTACCTACTAGTTTGCTGCACTTCTAATAATTTAGGATTGAGACTTCCTGTAAAAAGATGTGAGATTAAGGAAAATCTCACTTCTCAAGAAATTTCACTGAGGTTTGGATTCAAAATTTCATCAATTTTTGTCTTTTAATCACATTTCTTTACCTTTACTCTATCATTTATTTGCTGAGAAGTGTGTAGTATATCCACTTTCAGCTTGCGGAATTCATGTGTCAGTATGTTTATTTAGGCAGGTCATTTTGCTTAGTAGCACCTCTATGTATGAGAGAAAAGTGAGTAAAACTGTCATTGGCATGAGTGCTCTCTAGCTCTCATGGGACTGAAAGATGTTGAAGGTATTTTTCTTTACAGATATGAAGATACTTCCTTATATATTTGCTCTGTTGCACACACACAGCTGGCTTAGGCACTATTTTTTTCTATTTATCAATAGACATATCTTAACATATCCTTAGGATATAGACATATCCTGTGTTACATACATACAAGTTCATATCTGCTCTATTCTTACAGAAAGTTCTCAGAAATTTGCCATAAAATTTATTACAAGGAGTGACTTGAGACAAAAGATATGTGGTGTTCTTCAGCTATGTTTGTGGTAAAATAGCTGGTAAATAATAGGAATTCAGTAAACATAAATAATAAATGAAAATATTAAAGTCACTGGTAACAATATATTTGTCTTATGATATTTAAAAAGAGGTACAGGACAGCCTATTTGTTTTAATTTTATGTCTGTTTAATATGATTTAATCATATTTTAATGTAAGTTGTATTTGTGAATGCTTTTCAGACTGGATTGTTAATTATCGGTATAACATTGTACAGTATTTTATCCATTTAATTGATGAAGAATTGATATGCAGAGAGGTGAAGTCACTTGCCCATTCACTAACTAGAAGTTTTGTAGTGGGGCAAGGAATCATCTCTTACTGCTAAATCTATATACCTTAACAGAGTGCATTCTAATGATTTGCAACTATTATTTTAATTGCATTAATTCAGGGGAAGTAAATTTTGTATTTTCTGACACATATAAAAAATCCATGTAATATTCATAAATATTCTTGCTAATTTGTAAAATGTTGGTTGACTCACAGTATCCAATTTTTTGGAGCCTATTTGAAAGTTTTGAAAATACTTTTCTCAATGATTTTTCCAAATGAGATTGAGACTGGCATTCTACATAATTACCAGTTTATTTTCTGTAAGGCACATATAAGACAAACTGAAACTACAAATAAACTGAAGGTGTCAGTGATAGGAAAATAGACATGGCATTGTGTTGTAAACTTTGTGTAAGAATTTTCACATATTTTTCTATTTTTTATCAGTCTGGACTTTTTCACAAATTGGATTCTTAAAACAATTTGACTTGATCTTAAAAATTTATTATACCCTTGTAAATTAAAGGGGTTCCTCAAGCCTTCCTTAAAAACTTAGTTCATTTAGTTGATACTGTTTTTCATTTTTCAAGAAAAATATGCATAACAAACATTACTCTAGGAAAAAAAAGTGTTTTCTGACATTGGTAACAGATTGATAATCTCTGAGCTCAATATTCTGGTTCTGACTTTGTTTATATAATAAGGTATATCTATTTTCTTAAATTTACTTTATCATTTACTTATCAGCTAATTTACAATATGAAAATTTAAGGACTGTGTATTTCTTCAACCATGAGGAATTGGAAAGGGATTACATGAAGCTATTCCAAATACTTCTCGTAAGTTTATGGTTGATATGCACTAAGGAGTTGAGCACTTTTGAGAAGGCTGACCATATGCTGCTGCTATGCTAATTTGATCAAGGAGGCAAGGGGCCATGATGACAGGAAGCAGTGCACTGAGTGTGTTTCCATGAATTCCTCTGTGGCCAATGCTTGACCATCTTCCATGCTTAATTACTGGCCTTTCTTTATAATTGGCCGAATAAAATTTAAAACATGTTCTTAAAATCCACTGTGTCTAGATTATTCCTACAGATACAGAGATACTACTAGATCAATTCAAAATTAATGTGAATGCTTCATCATTCAAGTTATAATATCTTGGCTAATTACTAGGAAATGGTTTACTCAGTCCCCTGTTCTCTGCTCTATGGGATCAGTTTCTTCTTTTAGAGTGGTCTGGGTCCATATTAGAGGGCTGATGAGAGCTCAGACACTGCACAGATTACTTTTCTTGAATCTTTTGCTCTGTCTTTTATGCTAAGCTTCCAAAAAGTAACTTGACCTGGCTTCTTTCCATTGATCATCCTTCAGATGGGAAGTAAGATAGCATCCAATTCATATTAAAAATACACACAATTTTTGTGTGTATATAAATATATATACATAGTATACATCCACATATTTTATGTATTTGCAGGTATGTAAATATTATCTTTATAAAAATTTAGAACAGCAGATTGCATATAGAAAGTACAGGGTAGTAATGTTGCAAGGATATTAGTTCAGGATCCCTATTTTTCAAATACCATTAAACATCATTCCACTGCTGATGCATTGTTATGAGAATATGCACTATAACTTTACCTTTTTATTTTCTTTCACTTTTACTCTCTTATAATTTAATCGGTATAACCTACTTCCAACTCCACCCCCTTGCCCTTATCTCCCTCATGATCTTATCTTTATTCCTAGTCCCACATCTGACCACCCAGCCCCCTAGATGAAATTTTTTTGTTGTGTCACTCTATGTGTCCTCCAGTACCTGAGATATTTGTAAGTTGTTCGTTGCATTTAATTTCCAAGCTATGTGCTGGAATTGATATTCATTTATTACTGTTAACTTGGAAAAAAAAACCACTAGTCTCTATCCATTCTGTAATTATACCTCTGATATATTGTTCTCTAGGTGGCTAGGGGTGAATTAATGTCTTAATTTCTCTTGATCAAGCAGAAAGCCCTTGGTAACCTAAGCGGTATTGCCCTACTAGCTTTTTCACAGTTGTTTAGGTTCAATAATTGAAATTACTAAACTCAAACTACCTCCATATTAGGAAGTAAATTGTGTTCCAATTTGTTGAGCTCCTTAATAAATGAGCAGTGATAATAGAAGAATCCTTTATAGTCTATTGGCTGACCATATTAGGTACTTAATAAATATTTATTGAGTTACATGTTTTATGAAAATGATCTGGCAAACAGAAGAATGCAAAATATTATCATTTGAAAAGGAGCTACATGAAGTGATTTAAATACTATTTAACTCTGCAGCTCCCATTTATGTTACAGGCACAGTTATAAGTCCAGAAAACAAAAGTGGTAACCGTTGCTACTTTTCCTTATGAAAGTTAGAGTTTAGAGTCATTAGAGGCTCTAATATTCATTTATAACACCCAGTTACACTTATATATACATGTCTATACCAACACACAAAACACTGCCAAAAATATTCTGACAAGAATATGAAATATGTTGTAATTAGAAAATGCATGAAGGCTACTATTTAATAATTTACCTCTTCCCACATAAGCACTAACTAAAGACAAATCTCCTAAGAATGTACTTCTATACAACTTTTTCCATATATCTTGAGCTTTTCTGGTTACTTCTTATTAAATGTTTTAATTTCCATCAAAATAGTCAAAAAGGTAGGAATGCAATAAAGTACTTCCTTTTGTACATATTTGTTTTATTTTTAGATGCAGGTATTCTAATCTTAGTGTCTTTTGAAAAAAATAAAAGGTTTATTGAACTAGGGTGTTTGAAAAGGCTTAGCAGTACATTATTAATAGCTGAAGTAAAAAAAAATAGTCGATTTGTGATAATCTTGCTATGAAGAAAAAGGGATCGACAGCACAAAAAAAAATCAAGAAATTATTTCATTTTTTAACAAATTATTCTAAATTTTCCCTTCATTTTTCCCCACCAGGAATACTTCTGCTGCAAATTAAAATTCAAAAGAAACAAAAGTACTTTATTCAAATAGTGACAACAGGAAAAACAAACAACATAAAAAGCATTACCTTCTATGAAGATAAAGAAGTGTGATGGATTTAAATAAGCCAAATGAACTGAATTCCAGAAAGAAACCCTTCAAAGAGGAGGAAAGAGCAGCAGTCACTTCCATCTGGGGGTCATTGCCATGTCTGGATTCAATCTTCCCTGCCAGGACTGAGGACAGCGAGGTCTACAGAATGTAATCTAGATGGATGGAACCTCCTCTTAACTAAGTTATTACCCCTCTTCCCCCAATTCCTGCCTGGAATTTGAAAAAAAATAAGTGAATAAAAACCTGGTAAGTAAATCAAAATCAACTAGCTGTGAACATTCTGCAATGATTGGATTCCAGGACTTTATGGAACTGAAACAAAAGGTGAAATAAATCTGTTTGATACTTCAGCCAAGTTCAAATACAGACATATCCAAAAGCTCACAGAATAAAACAGAGATCACACTGGAGTCAAGAAATAGGTTCACACATAATAACTCATTGGTTTCAAATAAAGTATCAAATCAATTCAAAGGAGAAAGGAAATACTCTCAGAAATGTTGGAAATACTTGATATCTATATGGGGGAAAACTGAAATGACCTCTGTCATATATGGTACACAAAAATGAATTTGAAACAGATCATAGCCATAGTGTAATAGCTAAAATTGTAAAACTTCTACAAAATTATATAACTTTCCATAAGAGAAGTGGTGTTGCAGGTTTCCTCTAGCCCATAATCCCTAACATCATCCCTTGCTGTGGAAAAAATATTGCAACCATGTCACCAGCAACTTTAGCTGTGAACTTCTGTCCATGAAAACCCCCCACAGGGGTAGACTCAACACTGAGGGTGGGGCTATGAACACTTGCATGGTAGCTACTGCAAGGATAAGGCAAGGCTAGGCAAGGATAAGACTTCACCTTTCTGCAGACCATTCAGGACATCAGAAAAATGGCCTTGGGTTTCTTGAGAGCTAGAAGACAGGAAGCATTTGTGTCATTCCATGATGTGTCTGTGGACTTCACCCAGGAAGAGTGGAGACTATTGAGCCATGCTCAAAGGACAATGTACAAGGATGTGATGCTGGAAAACTACAGTAACCTGGTCTCCTTGGGAATTGCATTCTCCAAACCAACACTTGTCATTCTGCTAGAGCAGGGGGAAGAGCCTTGGAGAAAAGAGAGAGATTATCTGTCCAACCCCTATTCAGCAAATACAAAGTCAAGAAGTCAAGTGTGTTCTTCCTCCACTCTGGACTTCTGCAGTCAACAACTGTGCCACCAGGTGCTACAAGATCATTACATTCCAATCTTCCCAGGCTTATTTGTGGGAACTCTCCAAGTATCAGATCTCTGCCTAGCATATCAGAAGCAGCCACAACAACCACTCTCTTCTGAAAGTTCCTGTAGTGACACAGTGGAAGGAAACCACAGAGGTTGGGACTCCAAAAATGTTTGGGGGAGGACAAGGGAATGGGTTACTTCAAGAACCTTCTCAAGGGAAGGCAAGACAATGGTGGAAATAAAATTCAGCTCAGCTGAGAAGGCAAACCCTTTAGAAACAGACAAAATACTAAGGTGGGTAGAAGCCTCTGGATTTGAAGTAGTCAAGTGTGGAAATGGTGACCTAGGTTTTCACCAGAAGTCAGCTCTCTTCATTCATCAGAGGACCCATTTAAGGGAAAAGCCTTATTTCTGCTGTGAGTGTGGTCGAAGCTTTAGCTATAAGTCAGCTCTCATCACACACAAGAGATCACACACAGGAGAGAAGCCTTATCTCTGCACCGAGTGTGGGCAAGCCTTTAGCCAGAAGTCAAACCTAGTCACACACAAGATGGCACACTCTGGAGAGAAACCCTTTGCATGTGAGGAGTGTGGGCGCAGCTTTAGCCAGAAGTCAACCCTCATCCGACATCTAAGGACACACTCAGGAGAGAGGCCCTTTGTGTGCCAGGAGTGTGGGCGAGGTTTTAGGGATAAGTCAAACCTTATCACACACCAGAAAACCCACTCCTGGGAGAAGCCTCATGTGTGCAGTGACTGTGGGAGGCTTTTTAGAGATAAGTCAACTCTCAGCAAACACCGACGGATTCATTCAGGGGAGAGCCCTCATTTGTGCAGTGAATGTGGCCGGAGCTTTAGTCAGAAGTCGTACCTCATAAAACACAAGAGGATACACTCTGGTGAGAAACCTTTTGTGTGTCAAGAGTGTGGAAGAGGCTTTAGTGATAAGTCAAACCTTACCACACATCAGAGGACACACTCGGGTGAGAACCCATATATGTGTGCAGAGTGTGGAAGAAGGTTTAGCGTGAAGTCAGCTCTCATTACACACCAGAGGACACACTCAGGAGAGAAGCCTTACATGTGCAAAGAATGTGGGCGAGGCTTTAGACATAAGTCAACTCTCACTGCACATCAGAGGACACACTCAGGTGAGAAACCTTTTGTATGTAGGGAATGTGGACGAGGCTTTCGACAGAAGTCACACCTCATCAGTCACGAACGGACACACTCTGGAGAAAAGGCATATGTTTGCATGGAATGTGGACATGGCTTTAACCAGAAAGCAAATTTAGTCAGGCACAAGCTGGCCCACTCAAGGGAGAAGCCCTTTGTCTGCATGGAGTGTGGGAGAGGTTTTAGCCAAAAGTCAGCTCTCATAAGACATCAAAGGACACATTCTGGGGAGAAGCCATATATATGTAGAGAGTGTGAACAGGGCTTTAGCGACAAGGCAACCCTCAGCATACATCAGAGAACACACTCAGGGGAGAAGCCTTGTGTTTCTAGTAAGTGTGGGGAAGGCTTTAGACTGAAATCACTTATTAGACATCAGAGGACACACTTGTAGAGATCTATGTACAGGGAATGTAAAAGAGACCTTAGCAATAAATAACAACTCATTGTGCAAGGAAAGACAACTTAGGGGACACTCAAGTGTGTAAGGAGTGAGCTTCAGTGCTACTCTCACTAGACAACAGAAGACCCTGAAGGTGACATTTGTTCTTGTCTAGAGATTTTTTTTCTGTTCTCATAACTGGGAAAATATTGGCATCTAGTGCGTAGATACCAAGGATGCAGTTAAAGATCCCATAATACACAATTCCCAATAACAAAGAATTATCTGACGCTGTAAGACTTGGACCCTCTAATACTGGCTTCAGCTGCAGGACTCCCTCCCCCTCCACGCACATGCATTGGCTTGGCAAAAAATTCCCCAGACTGTGCTGCAACTTGAAAGCCTTCCTTCTCAGCCATCCTTCATTCCCCTTTTCGTTTGTATCCAAATATAATGCTTCTCCTTGCCTTCTCGAATGTCCTTTCCATTTTTTCCCCTCAAAATTGGTTTTCCCAATACTCTCACATATCGAATGCTTTCTTTATTCTCAGAAAACTTCAACTAACATAATTAAAAAGGAAAAAAAAATATGGTAACTACAGGGAGGCAACTTGGTATACAACATCTTCACAAAGCTGCTAATATTGGGACAGATTGACACAAGGGCCTCCTACCAGGATTCATTTTTAAGAATACCAGGTCTGTTTTTTATAACTATTCAAACAAATGTGTAAACTAAATCTTGTTATGAGAAATCACTAGATCAACCTAAATCAAGGAATGTCCCATAAAACAGCTGTGCATTTTGAAACTCTTCAAAAATGTCAAGGCTAGGAGCAAAAAATGAAGCTGATAAATTATTCCAGATTTAAAAAGAAAAGGAGATAGAATAAAACTGTTGCAATAGGATTAGATCTGGACAGATAATATATAGTTACTAATGACTATGGATTGGCAAATAACATTTAATCAATGTTAAATCAATGATAAAATGCAATATAGAGTGGTTATGGGAATCATGTTTTTTCTCTGGAAATACAGTAGAGTTTATAGGAGTTAAAGGAAACAATAACTCCAACTCATTTACAAATTGTTCAGGAAAAAAAATGGTCTTGAAGTGTTTATAGAAAGTAAGTGTATATCTAAAATGCAGATACTTTTCTCAGCAAGGTGAGGGGGAAGGGAGTGTGAGAGAAAGAGGGGGCAACTGAGGAGAGAGAGGGAAATAGAATAATGATAAATCATGGATAAATACTGATAAATTTATGCAAGTGTGTCTTAAACTTTTATTGCAACTTTAGGTTTGATTTTTACATAATAAACTAAAATATCAAAAAAGATAAAGAAAGAAGGAAGGAAGCTCCTGGGATGTGGGGCTGCTTGGTGGCTGGATTAATCACAATTAAATGTGAGCCTTTTCAGCACAGCCCAGAATAACTCAACTCCTAGAGAAATTTGAAAAATTGGCTCATATCCCAACTGTTCATTAGAAGAGAAGGCTTGCATTATCTGTGAAATACATTAGTCTCTAATAGTTCTCCTACAATAAACTGTGTTGTGGATATAATTTAAAATTACCAGATTATGACATTAAGTAGGAAAATATGACCTAGGAAAAACAAGTAATAGTAGACCAACAACTCACATAGATAATGGAAATTGCAACAAAGGTTTAAATTAAATCAATTATTATAACAATTTTAAAGAGTTTATAAGAAAACTGCCAGGCTATTTCAAAAGTAAAACCAGAGTTCTAGAAAAAGTATCAAATATGAATACTAATATTGAAATACATAACAACTGAATTTTTTTCTCCAGGTCTGCTGATGCAGCAAAGTTAAATGCCATTTTCCTTCCATTTCTTAATAAAATAACTTTCATGGAGAGTCAAATGAGTGATTTAAATGAAACCAGAAATAACATTAGGAGTCATGACTTTGAAAGTTATTCATCTTCGGATTCTTTAAACTTGGAAAAACAGTCACTATAATCTAGTCTAGTAAACCACATTATGAAGAACACTGAATTTAAATTATTTCTCTTATTTTCTATTCCAGATAAAAATCACACCCCATCTTTCAATTCTGTCAGTTGCCTACCAAGCTGATATGCTTCTGCAATTCTTATTTTGAAATGTTTTCCTTCCAACTTTAAACAGGCAATTTGTTTTCTTTTTAGGCAAATGCCTACATAGTAGTATTATTTTCCAGAAATATTTTTTTAATTATATCATCTAAGAGTAAGAATCGTCTCTCTCTCTCCCAACACACCACCTCTTCCCTCCCTCTTTCTCCCCAACATCTCAGTTAGTAAGTATAACGTCTTAGTTTTTGTGGTTTCAATTTCAAGGGAGCAGTAACTATTAAAAGCCATAAATTTTCATAGTTAACCTATCTTCATTAATCAATATTCCCATATTGAATTAGATGGAAAAAACAATGGACTTGCCAACTCAGTATTGGGATTAAGATGGATGAAACATTCAAGAATTGATTAGTGTTTATTATAGAAAATGACCCTGCAAAATATATATGTAGTATAATCAAGATGTTTTGGGCAACTGTGATTTGGAATTCTTCTCTAATATTTACATCAGATAATGATATGCAAATTTTATTTTACTGTATTAGTATAAACATACAACATTTAGTAGTTTGGGGTGACTATTTTTTCTCCTTTCAGCAGACTATGAATTTACATGATTTTATTTTTTTATATATCTTAAATAAACATTTTTGAATCTGAAGGGATCTGATTTGTCATTTCTCACACTCATACACAAACACATCACAAAACTAATGATTTTGTTAGCGCATGACTAAGGGATACTGAAGGACCCCAAACTGTTAACAGGTGCACACACTCAAAGGGGCAAAGAGGATCTGACCATCCACACAGAGGTTAGGAGGCAGATTCTTAGCGTGAAAGACTTTTAATAGAATTGGGAGAGAGAGAGAGGTTTTGAATGATAGTTTCTCAATAATACTCCCCAAAATTACCCATACCCTCATGGGCAAATGCCCAAACAGCCTTGGTCCAAACTCAAAGCTTATAACAAGTCTAAGGCACTGTCTGTAAGGAACCACAAGAAAGGGGTTAGGCAGTTTCCAGAGAGATGGAACAGAAGAAAAGATTCCAAATTCAAATTATATCACATAATCCATCATGAAATCAAGATAATAGTGGCCATTGTGTTTGCTATAGACCAGGGCCAGCGTCCCTACATGACTTCCACCCACGTCTCTTCCAAATATCTTTTCTAAGTGTTTCTACATGTGTCTCCACCCCATGTCTCCTTCCATGTGTCTCCTCCTGCCTCCTTTATTCACTGCTATTTATATATTCACCTCAATCTTCCATGCTGCCTCCCATTCAGGAAGTCTGGTTCATGGCAAACTGAGACTTGTAATCCAAGGCAAATGTGTGTATCTGGGAAGTGGGCGGGGGGAGAAAAATGGTGCCTCTGCTTCAAGGAGGGGTATCTGTAACAATTTCATACAAAATTCTTACTAACACTAACTAGAGAAGTTTGGCAATAAAAGAAAACTAATGCTCAGAAAATTTTTCTCATAAACTTTATATTTCAATTTGTGAAATCAGACCTCTCTAGGGTCTCTACTCAAGTTCAAATACACATTGCTTTCTTAGTCTAATATTTAGAATTAAGAGTCAAATGTGAAAGGAGAGAGCCATGGTTAGCATTAATCTGGAACTGTGTATATAAGAAGTGGGTATGAAGTTTGCTCACACTACTGGTGATATTTTGAAGTTCCATTTCCAAATTTTTCTCTGAGGAGTATCCTCCTTCAAGAGTCAAAATAGTCTGAATAGAGCAATTTATTTCTAGACATTTGGTCCTCAGAGAAACATTTCTAAGGGTTTCACACCTGCAAAATCTGGGGTTGTGGAGCAAGAAAAACTCTGACAACTTCAAGATGCCAGCTCTGATCTGAACAGGAAGATTTCAAGACAATCTTTAGAACTATTAAAAGCAAGCTGTCTTTCTGGGCTGAGGATTTATAAATTGATAGAATTAGATATTAATATATTCAATTACCTCCTATTTCACGCAACTTCTTTAGGCCAAGGAGCTAAGTCATAAGTATAGTTTCAATGCAGTATCTTTGCCAAGCAGAGATAAACTGTTGTAGCAGTGAAGAAGACATCTTCAAATTACAGTGGAAAGAGGTAGGAGTTATCTTGGTTCAAATTATGACTCTGACTTTTAATTTGTTCTATGAACTTGAACAACATTGACTATCTGAAAGATTAAATTTTTCATCTGCTGTTAAGATTAAATGATAATTTATAAACTAAAACTATGATAGTCATCTTAATTTTTTTTCTCTGCTGCCCCCTACTTAAGAGGCCCCTTATTTAAATGAATAACAAACCTTATAAAACCAGGACAACTGAAATCTCAGGTCACTTTATGACCTTGATTAAGTTGTGGAACTTCCCAGAGTAACTTTGTTGCCATCTGCAAAACTAAAATAATGGCAGTTGACACCTGCTCACCATGCTGTGAAGATGAATGTAGAAACATCCACAAAGCAGACAGCACTCTGGGGGAAGCCATGTGCCATTTGCAATAAAAACAACAGCAAGAAAAATGTTCAAATTATTTATTTTCCAGGTCCTCACTAAATAGATATGGGCATCTGTTGTCCAGGACATATTGGTTTTTAATTATAAACAAATACCTGCCAGGTTTCATTAAAGTCCATTTTAGCAAATTGTTACTGTCCTATAATATACCTTTTGAGTCCCTTGCAGATTAACAAAGAGCCGCTGGGAAAAAAGCACTGTACTACGCTGGCAGGGAATGAAACACCCCACCAGGGCACATTTTGTGAGCAGTTTCTATTCAGCCAACAGCACTTCTCACTAAGATTTTTAAAACCTGCTCTGAACAAACATTAAACATTTTAATTGGGAGATTTTGCCAGGATTTTAGATTATACTCTGCCTGACAGCAATATGTACTAAACATACATGGTGCCATAAATCTCTTGATATTACATTTAAGCAGATCTATTATTATTTAGGCTCTTAGTAATATCTTTGGCACCATTTTACATTTAATTTGAAGGCTTTGATTTTCATCCCACATCTAGGAAAAGTACCATCAACATGTGAATGTTTATAATGCAAGTTTGAGATCAGCAAAACAATGTGTGCAAAAACATGATATGTGCTTACTAAGGAAACCAACATGTTTTATGATATCTCTTTAGTCTTAAAAATCCCTCAGCTGCTATGGTGTAGTTAGGGCTTTCTACATATGCATCTAAAAATTATATCTGGAAGTCTTTTTCCTAGCTAGACTTGGTGTCTGCACATGTTCTAAAGAATGATGAATGATTCAAGAGGCTCATTTAAAACACAGTTAGTACATTCAGTGGTAATGTTCTGGGAGAAAAACTTTATCTGAGTGTCATTCTCTGGACTGAAAGAAAAAGCAGACCATAAATGACCTTCTAGATACATAGGTGGTCAAGTTATTATCCAGGGTGTAAAGAGGAAAAACATTTCTTTTAAAAGTCAGTCAAATAATAACAGGCATAGAAAAAGAGATAGAAAATTAGCAGTCTTCGTGGAGAATTCTTTGTTTCAAAGAATAGGATCCATTGAAGATATAAATCAATGATGCACAGAATTCAAAGAATGCCTGTTTTTCAGTTTTCTGCTGACTCAAACGGACTTTTAACATTTTCTCTGTAGGACTTGAATGTTACTTGAAAAGAGAATGATTTACCAAAGGGTTTGTTTTTCTTGCTTAAGAAAATAAATTAAAAGGATAAGAGAATAAAAGGGATTCCTATTTAAGGCTGAGCATGTTCTGAATTTTAAAGGCTCTCCTATACTTAGGGAATCTCAGCAGGACAGTGGTGATGGCCTCCTAAGACTCTCAGCTTCAGCCATGAATTCTTCACACAACTGTTAGGATTATGTTACTAAAGCATGCTGGCTACCAGTTATTTCACGAATGGATGCATCTACGGCCTCATCCCTAGTTGATTTTATGACCTTCCTGGGGCTTTGTTATCATGAGTTGGTTTTTTGTCTACATCACCTACGTTTCGAATCATCTCATACTTTCTGACTTTCATGCTTTTTCTCACATTTGCATGACAGCAAAGTTTTGACTTTTAACATCTTCAGATGTGTCATTTACTCTGATTACTACTGATCTTAAAGCTGTAATTAATTTTATTCTCTCCATTAACACAGAGAACATTGTCATTTATCTGGACCTTTCAAACAGTATATCTTCATAATCTGTGCTATATGTTAAACCATATAGGTAGATGCCTCCTACCCTGTCAATCAGTCTAATATTTTGTTCAATATATTGTATAAGCTCACTGAGGTCAGGATTCAATTTTTTTATTATGTCATCTGTCTCAGAGTACATCGCATTTGACGAAAACTTTTTAACTCATTGAATAAATTTAAAAGCAAATATTTTTATCCTAATTCACAAATTCATTACTTTGTACAATTTTATTTTTTATTTTGTTTATATTTTTCTTTATTTTGTTCAAAATGGCAAAGTTGGTACAGTGTTTAGGATGAAGTGATAACAAAAAATGTCCTAAAGAAATTACAAAAAACTAGAAAAGCAGACTTCAAAATCATGGAGATCCAGGTATTAGAGTACAAAAACGAAAAAGTTATCTCATGACAGGAACAATCCAGCCAAGATAATTCTCAGAAGAAACAGAAACTAAACCACTTTTTACTGACTTTCCGAATTTTGAGGAAGGGGCATCTAACTAGACTAATTGATCTGAATAGTCTTATATTTGGGAAGATGTAACTACTTTTTTCATTTTGTGCTTGAAAGACTTCTTCCAAATAGTGAATTCATAGCTGTAGTAAAATAAATGCACAGGTTATTAGGAAGGAAAAAATAAAGGCTGTCAAAAACAGGCACACACCTACAACTGAAGAGTCATCACGTGAAGACAATAGGTATTGTGGGGGATGATTATTATTTTTTATAATCTGCAATCAATAAACATGTTCCTCAGTGATTTACTATACCTCATTGTGACACATCAGACTAGGCCTGTGTTTACTGCACAAAGGGAATATCTTGCATAGTTTTCCACATAACTGCCTCAGAATGGCTTCATTCAAAACACCTCCAGATATAACACCTTCAAATTTTCTACAATCAGGTTTCTGAGTTGGCATGAGGTATCAGACTTTCTGATTCCATATGTACAATGTTGGATGGTATGGCTTTGCAGATCTCTAAGGAAAGGCAGAGCTAAACATGCAAGTAGCAACCTATTGAAAAAGAGGATGAAATGAGTCTCTAAAGAGAAAATTTCTTCTGTTGACAAAAATGTATAGATCCAATCAAAGTAGCAGACTCTACATGAACTCTAGGATTAGGCAGGCTTCATGACAAGAAACTTTATGCCATATAAAGCAAAATAACATTTTTCCTTCAATATCCACTTGGGTAATCATGTCATCATATTTACTTTAAAGGACAGTTCAGACTATACGAAATGCAACTCGTTCATTGTCTGGCTAACAAATATTCACCAAGTGTTTGCACTTTGTCTTATAGGGACAGATGTATTGGGCCAGATACTGAGAATAAAATGAGAAAAATCAGAGTTCCTTTCTCCCAGTAGCAGTCTTGTTGGAAACAAGAAAATTGATGATTGCACT